ACATCTTTATTGATAAGATATGAGTACGCAAAAACTATACATTGGCTTGCTGACATGTTAACTTTTATGAATAATGATTGTATGATTCAAAATGATGAAGAAAGTATCGAGATTCAAAAAGAATTTATGAGAATATTTAAATCAACTCTTACAAAAGCAAAAATGGTAACAACACGTTTTTTAAGCGCATTACAATTCATAGACGATTTAAAAGTAAGTGTTGAAAAAAAAAAATTCTATGATTTAAGTGATATATTGAATAACTTTAACGAATTTGAAATCAATACACAATTAAATGATGATAGGTTCTATATTTTATACGTAAAAATTGACGATATGTTAAAATTTATAATCGACGACATAGAAAATTATTTAGATAGATTTCATAATGATGATGATGATGATAATGATCCACTTGATGGGGATTTAAAGGAAGAGAAATTACAAAATACATATAGGATTCAATTGATAAAAAATTTTTGTATCGTAAAAAATGAAATTTCTAAAAAATTTTTAAAAAAAAATACCACACCTTTTGATTTTCTTCTTAAATATATTACCGATAGTATCGATGATATAATTAAAATCAATTACACTGATCTTGGATTCGAATATGACAAGATGACAAAAACAAGTTTCTATAAACTGTAAAAAAAAAACTAGTGTAAAATACTTCAATTTTGTTTTAAGTGATATTCTGATTGTATTAGTTAAGTTTCAAATTTAAACAAGAAAAACATACTAAATTTTCATTGTATAATTTATGTAATCAAAGAATTATATTAATTTATTTTACTTTAAAATTATTTATTGCTTGATCTATGTAATACCCATCTTAAATAAATGCATACATATAAATTAACTATATTTAATTTTGAATGAGTACCATTCTCATAACTTGTCAAAATTTCAGGTTGAATTACCTTTATAATTTTTCAATACATGAGCAGAAAAACTATATACAGGTGATTCATTTAAATTTCTTTACGCTATCCGCTCAATTTCTCTTAAAATATCTTTTTGTTCGATTTATGTTAGTTCCATATACTAAGCATAAATTTTGACTGCATCATGTTATGTAATTTATTAATAAAAAATATCTTTAAAAAATCTTTATTAAGATCATAATTATCAATCATTATGAAATAATACGAAATAAAAAACACAATTTTCGGTTATACAGGGTGTTGAGTAAGTCAGGTAACGGGTTTCTATTGTTCTCATTGTTACAAACAATGAGAACAATAGAAACCCGTTTCCTGACTTACTCAACACTCTGTATATAAACGCCCTTATTTACTATACTGATCAATGTAGCCACTAATGAACAATAGTACTCAATTTTGTTATTGGATTTTCATTAATAGCATAGCAAAAGAAAATGTATTATCTTACGTATGTTGTGTTACAATTTCATACAAATTCGATTTTTTAATAAAAATTCTATATAATTTTTAAATACAGAAAAAATTCTAAATTTTACAATTTTTAATGAATGCTTAATTTTGAAATTTGTCTAAATTTTAAAAATTAAAGGAAATTCTTTAAACAATTGGCGTTGAATAGTTTCACAACATAAAAATCAATCCAGTGTCTTTATATAGACAGACATACACACACACAAAAAAGAAATACATTTATTGTAATATCAATACCTTCTCAGCTGCGCAACAAAACTAAAATGGATTCAATTAATNATGTTAACTTTTATGAATAATGATTGTTGTGTTAAAAATGTTGAAGAAAGTATCGAGATTCAAAAAGAATTTATGAGAAAATTTAAATCAACTCTTACAAAAGCAAAAAATGTAACAATACGTTTTTTAAGCGCATTACAATTCATAGACAATTTAAAAGTAAGCGTTGAAAAACAAATTTTGTACGATTTAATAACTACATTGAATAAATTTAACGAAATTGAAATCAATACAGAATTTAATGATGATAGGTTCTATATGTTATACATAAATATTGACAATATGTTAAAAAGTATAATCGACGAGATAGAAAAATATTTAGTTAGGTTTCATAATAATGGTAGTGATCAACTTGATGGGAATTTAAAGGAAGAGAAATTACAAAAAACATATAGGAATCAAATAATAAAAAATTTTTGTTACGTAAAAAATGAATTTTCTAAAAAATTTAAAAAAAAAAATAGCACAACTTTTGATTTTCTTCTTGAACACATTACCAAAAGTATCGATGATATAATTAAAATCAATTACACCGATCTTGGATTCGAATATGACAAGATGACAAAAACAAGTTTCTATAACCTGTAAAAAAAAAAACTAGTGTAAAATACTTCAATTTTGTTTTAAGTGATATTCTGATTGTATTAGTCTAGTTTCAAATTTTAAACAAGAAAAACATACTAAATTTTCATTGTATAATTTCTGTAATTAAAGAATGATATTAATTTATTTTACTTTAAAATTATTTATTGCTTGATCTATGTAATACCCATCTTAAATAAATGCATATTAATAAATGAACTATTGTTAATTTTGAATGAGTACCATTCTCATAACTTGTCAAAATTTCAGGTTGAATTGCCTTTATAATTTTTAAATACATGAGCAGAAAAACTATATACAGGTGATTAATTTAAATTTCGTTAACGCAATCCGCTCAATATCTCTTAAAATATTTCTTTGTTCGATTTATGTTAGTTCCATATGTATTTTTATTTATCTGTTATAATATAATTTTTAGGTCCATCCCTTGTATATTCTGGATTATTAACTTTATTTTTTTAAATGACAACATTCATA